AGAAGTGACCTAAAATACGATTTGTCATACAAACACCCCTCCTCATTATTGGTGAGACATCACTGGATTGTCATTTATGTGCCCATGGTTTTAAAAGATCAGAAACCATCACTGTGACTAGGGTACTGCTTCTGTACTGAGGTACAGAAATGTGCTGTAAATTGATACATATTTAATGTTCCTCCATGGAACAAAATCAACAACTTCAAGTCTAAGAGAGCTTTTAAAAATATCAATGCTCCATTTATATAAATAAGTAGTCGTCGCAGGTGGAATTTTAATGTTCAATTAAACACATTTTCTCAGAAGAAAAGTTTTCCCCAACAAATTCCATTTTTAGGAGATTACTGTCCATTTTTATTCTCACAGGAGGAGTGCCGCATCCAGGTTTAAAGAGAAGTAGGGTGCAAACCATACTTTAATGTTTTGTTTTTAAACTAGGATCTGTGATAAAATAAAGCACAGCTGAGGAAAAATGCATGTTCATGATTCTGAAAGCCTGTCTGTTATTTTGTCGCCCACTTTTCTAATATAATAGTTTTCTAGGGTGTCAGTTGTAGTGTAAATATCTGATAAAAGCGCTGTTCTGGGTTGTACTTGCACTCGGTGTTGGCAGTACTAAAATTTGCTTCATGTTCTCTAGCATTTTAAGGAGGGCTGGGGCATTTCATAACTCTCTGTGTGTGCTGAATCAATTCCAAGCATTTGTGTCCCCAGCTCTGCTAGGCAGGAGGAGACAGAGAGGGGTAAAGTACACACCCCTTGCCCTAACAGAAGCCAGTTGGGGGACACACAACTAATTATGAGCCAAACGTTGGAGTTAGTACTGTGGCAGAGGTATAAATAAAGGATGAACGAGCATAGCAGAGGGCGATTAATTCTGCAGGGAGTGGAGAGTTGGGGTGGTGCAAAGCAGAAGACTTCTCAGAAGGACTGCCATCTGACTCAGCTCTAAAGGATGAACAGAGTTCTGATAGGCAGGACTGACATGTCAGGACATTCCAGGAAGCAGGGACAGCTGGCACAGGGAGTTGGGATGGGAGGTGGGATTCTTGGCATAACTGACCAGTGTTGTGTATGGTGCTTGAGGGATGGTAGAGAAGGTAGGTGGTGGCCAAATCTTCCGGGGTCATCAATTTCACATTAGGGCATGTGGATTTTAATCTTTAGTAGTGATCCAACTCAGTACGGAAAAGCCATCCATAAAATCAATGAAATCAGTTACGGGTGTGTAGAAAATAACCCCAGGAAGAAAGTTAGTGTCATGTTTGTGAACGAGGGCAGTGGCAGTGAGAAAGGAGAGTGTAGATCCAAGGGCCTGTGTACAGGGAGAATGGAGTGAGGTGAGGATCGTGTTAGGTGTGGACATTGAGTGAAAGGGAGAAGCTGGTGACTCTGAGGCTTCATGTTTGGGGGCCTGAGCAGACTGGAGGACAGCTCCAAACACGAGCAGTTCTGCAGGGAAACACAATGATTCAAGTTCAGGATATGTGTTATAGTGCCGTATTAAACACAGATAGAGATTTCCAGTAGGCCTAAAATCTAGGTAGATTTGGAGCTAGAGATATGGGTGTCAGAATCATCTCTTTCTTTCTTTTCTTTTTAATGTTTATTTATTTATTTATTTATTTAGAGAGAAAGAGCACATGAGCAAGAAAGGGGAAGAGAAAGAGAGAGCGGGAAAGAGAGAGAGGGAATCCCAAGCAGGCTCCAAGCTGTCAACACAGAGCCCAATGCAGTGCCTGAACCCACAAACCATGAGATCATGACCTGAGCCAAAACCAAGAATCAGATACTTAACCAATTCAGCCACCCAGGCACCCTCAGAACCATCTCTTTGTATAAGGGCACACTCAAAGAATGAGAGGCAAGATAACCCTCATTTGGGGCAAGATAAAGGGACTAAACAAGAAACCTAGAGGGTTATCTCCAGTCAAGCAATATTCTCTGTATCTCTTAATCAACATCATGGTGTCTTAACTAGTTTTTTATTTTTCTAGTTTGCTGTCTAGTGTATATGTAATTAAGAAGAGAAATCTAAATTGATTCCTGTAACAGAACTAATAGCATAATAAAACCAAGAAATAACATTTATATAGTACTCTTCAGTTTACAGAGCCCTTGCGTACGACACAGGGGCAGAGGACTATTTAAGGTCTCAGGGAAAAACCATTACAGCAAGGCCTTCCAGCCTCCCTTCTGAAACATTGAACCCCAATATCTTGTGTGAGTTTCCATTTCTTGCTGGCTCTGCATATGGAATTATTTACTCCTCACCACATTCCAGAGAAACAGGATCTGATCCTCATTCTACAGAAAGAAAGTCAGGGAGACTGACTTATTTGCCACCAGTTATATCACTGTTGGTGTAGGAAGTGATAAACTAACCTAGACTTCCATAATAAAATTACTGTATAACAGTTTACCCAAAACATAGCAGCTGACACCAACAATAAATATCTAGTGTGTCATACATTTTCTCTGTCATGACTAACTGGATGGTTCTGGGGCAGGGCCTCCCATGCAACGGCAGTTAAGGGGTCAGCAAGAGCTGCGGCCATCTAAAGGTTTGAATGAGGCTGGTGGACAGACTGCTCATGAGCCTGGGAAGTTGGTGCTGATAGCTGGCAGGAAGCCTCAGTTCCTTGTCACATGAGCCTCTCCATAGGGTTACTTGAATGTCCCCATAACCTATTATCTGGCTCCCCTCAGAGAGAGTGATCCGAGAGAGCAAGATGGAAACCACAATGGTTTTAAGGCCCAACCTTGGAAGTCACATTCCATCATTTCTGCAAAATCCTCTTGATTACACAAGTCAGTCTAGATGAGTGTGGGAGGGCACGACACAAGGACACAGTTACCAGGAGGACCAGAAAGACAGTGGTCTTTGGGAGTATTTTGAGACTGAGTATCACACCATATTATTTATCCCTAATACTCTCATTGTCAACTTTCAGAATTTATGACTCATTCTTCTGCAAATTAAAGACTTTCCAAAGAGATGTTTGTCTCAAAACATTTTATAATTCAGGACTCAAATTACATTTTTTAAATTTGTGAAAATGTTTGAGGCCTCTAGTATAGAACAATTGGTAATCAAATAGTAAACAGTTGCTTGCCTGATAAAAAAAAAAAAAAAAACTTAAATGAGGAGGTACCTCCATCACACTTGGTAATGAATGAAGCCTTTAAGTGGACTACTCATGTCATTTATCTGTTTGAATCATTGAAATAAATCGTATCAAACAAGACCTCTGGAAATCACCTAAATGAATAGAATGTGCCATTAATCAAAATGCCAGTTAGATGAATTCTGTGCTTTTGGCGGCTGCATGAGAAAAAGGTTATACATTCTCCACCTTATGTTTTAGGATTTTAAAAGACAGGAAAGGCTGGTAGAAAAACTTAGATAAAGTTTACATGCCGTTTGCGTGTTTTGCACACCCTCTCAGTAACTAGCTCCATCTGTGAAATCTTGAAAGATGACAAGAAAGCGATGGCCAGAGGGTGCCCTCGCTTGCCCATCACAAAACCAAGGCTCTCACCTCCACGGTGTTGTTGCCACACAGCAGTGCCCTGAGCAGAGTGTTCCTTATCTAAACCTGTAACCATGACGAAGCATCCCCTAGCCCGGGTTTTCTTCTGCTCAGGCTGTTGCCTGAATCTCATTCATTTGTGGGCTGCCAGATTTCATGAACAAGAAGCCATATCCTCAGCCTCGTCTTCCTCACCACCCCCTACTCCTCAGGCTCTCAGAGTGTCTTGTGTTCCCCGCCCCCGCTCTGCTAAACCTGCTCTCTCACAATGAACCCAGAAGATTCCGATGCTGTGGGTGCCCTCCATACTTCCTAAATTTATCTGTGGCGCACGGTTCTGTGCTCTGTTGATCTCCGTGGATCTCTGCTGCTTCTTCTCATGGCCCTACATCTCAAAATAGAAGTAGCAGTTTTGTTCTCTTGGTCACTATCCTCAGCCTCACCCTCTGCCGCCTGCCTTTCTGTTCCCATTCCCCACCTCAGGTCCAGCTGTCTTCTCAAAATGGACCTTTTCTGCATCCGTAACTTAGATTTTCATCTCTCTCCCAGGCCCCATGTCTCTGTAAGACTTCAAACTCAGTAAGTCTAAAACTGAACCAGTCATCCCCATGCCCCCATCCCATTTTACCGTTCCCCCACATTGCATCACCATGCCCAAAGTCACCTAGATAGCCATTCATCTCGACCTTTACTTCTCCCTTGCACTTCACATTTTGTAACTCCCTGGGCCTTCTTAGTCCTGCCCTCCTACCTCCCTCTTCCTGCTGCCATGCTCAGTCCATCATCTCTTGCCTAAGCTCTAAGATAGCCATCTATGCAAAACCATAGTTCCTAAAGCAAGCTTTAAACATGGCACTTGCTCAAATAGCCTTGTCTTGTATAACCCATACTATCTCTTTTAATGATCACCAGTACTTTCCTTGTTTCAAATTTCCCAGATCACATGTATCTTTTGAGGCCCAAATCAAATATCACTTTCTCCTTAACTTCGAGGGCACCCCTTTATTTCCTAAACTAATCACTTCATCCTCTCATATCTTTAAACAGTTTGTACCTTTTGGGGCACATCTCATCTCACATTGCATTGTCTGTCCTTTATCTCCCCAAATAGGTTGTAAGAGGCCTTGATCTTATTTAACTCGGGTGTTTATCCCCACAGTTTGTGCTATGGGAATTTGATCCTTGTAAGTTTATTGTTGAGTAAATGACTCTTACTAACAAGATTTTTAAAACCCAGCAGCATGTTTTATTTAATGCATCCTCATTTATTGTTGGTTTTCGTAAATTGGATTGAGAGCATTTTTCATCCCCTTCAACTATGCCCATGCCCGTCATCTCTAGAAGCATCTTGGGCACAGCTGAGGAGTGATTATGTTTGGAAATTGCCATAAACGGGGTCTCCTCTTAGTTACACCTTGTTCTCATGGACCCACTCTGTAACTGACCTGCCACTTCTCATTTCAGGGAGAGTGGAGAAGAAAAGAGAACAAAAAGCAACCTCAGGTAAGATTTGGACTAATTAGCTGCAATTATTTCCTGTTTTCACTTTCAGCTTTTTAAAAAAAAATCTATTTGCAATTGAATATCCTAAAACCCACACTAAAAAAGTAATGGTTTATGGTCCTACAATTGATTGACATTAAATTAATTAAAATAAATTAATACATTTATCCTTTTCACTTTCACATCAATCATGTCCTTCCCATTCTCTCACTGTATTCAAAAGAAAATGAGAGAGAATGTGATTTTTTTCATCATTCCCTTTAAAAGGTGAATCTTATAACCACCAACTTTAAAAATTGGAATTGTAACAGTTGACAACCATTTTATTTGCCCAAATATCTGTGAATCTTAATTATTTGTCTTAAAACCATTTATGGAGGCAATTTTTTCAGGATAGTGTTGACTACTTAACCAAAAAGAATTCTTAAATTTTGGAGGGATTTTAAGAATTATTCCATTCCTAAGTTCTAGTGTATATCCAGAAGTGAGTGATGTTTTGACACAGTGCCATTGTGCATAGTAGGGGCCCCTATTTGCACACTGATAAATTTTTAAATTCCAGATTTGTATTACTTGGTTTTTGGCTTAAAGTCATGAAATATGATAAAATTTAATTTATGAAGTAAATCTTTGCAAAAGTGCAATCTTCCAGCGTCCGGTGCCCTAAAATTGCCGGTAATCCTAGGGAATTCTAATTTGGCCTATTTACCTGTGCCCACCACCCTTCCCAAGTGTCTACCAAACCATTATCGTATGATATATGAGTGCTGCCAACGTAAAGACACATATTTCCCAACCACCATTTTCTTTTAGATGCATTTTTTTTTTTGGTCTGGTAACAAGAAAAAATGTATTTGTTTGTTTGTAATGTGTGTGTTCAAACAGTGTAGTCAATAGAAGATAAAAATCTGAATTAATCAAAAATGTATAAACAACCTCAGCCCCTGTCCCTTTTCTCCTTCTCAATCTTAGCATTCATCCCAGACAACTGAGCAATGGACTCCTTGTATGATTACCCTCTTAAATGTTATTGTTTGCATTCTCTTTGTGGATCTTTTAAAGCCTGATCATTAATACCAAAAACAAAAACAAAAAAATGTGAAGGCAAGAAAATGTCTTTTCTCCTCACAGATGTGATTACCTCCATAATTGCTCCTTGGGGGAAGATTATTTATACTGTTTCTAAAATGCTGTTGTTATGATTCTATAGATACTGGCTTAAAGTAACTTCATAGTTTGAGAGAAAGCTAAATTGGCCACAGTGGTAAACCAGATGTCTCTTTAAGTTCCCTTTGTATTCGTGGATTCTAATATTCTATGTGACCAAAGGTGACACAAAGAGCCAGAGACAAAAGCAGGACAAGAACTCTGGTTCCTTGACTCCTTATTCTTTCCAGTGTCTCATCATCCTGACCTTTCCTTACAAATCAAAGCACCAGTCACTTCAATACCATGTTGAATTTCTAGCTTAATAAAATATTTTTCAACAATTGGAAAATCTTTTTAAGGCAACAAGGTCTTCGCAGGGAACACTAGTCACCAGGGTTATGAGGAAACTCCTTTTATTAACAGAACTAATCTACCTCAACTGATGCACAGCTTGTCAGTGTGTCTGATTTTTAGGAGAAAGTGAAAGAAACTTATGAGAAAGTGAAGTCAAAGATACTAAATAGGGGTTCCTGGGTGGCTCAGTCAGTTAAGCATCTGACTCTTGATGTAGGCTCAGGTCATGATCGCACAGTGGTGAGATCCAGCCCTGTGTCAGGCTTGCATTGGGCATGGAGCCTGCTTAAGATTCCCTCTCTCCCTCTCCTTCTACTTTTCTCTCTCTCTCTCTCTCTCTCTCTCTCTCTCTGTCTCTCTCTCTCTCTTTCTCTTTCTCCCTGTCTCTCTCTCTTTCAAAAAAAAAAGTAGTTAATGGACAGAGTTCAAATTATTGGGGAAATTTTCTAGACTCCTCATCATTTCAAAGAACACAAATCCAGTCCTCACAAAATCTATATTTGCAAAGATGGTCTGAGTTTTCAAAATTGAGACCTAACCTTCGCCAACGTAGTCATAAATATCACCATCTTCAGTTTGTGATACTAGTTTGACTATATGTATCTTTAGATATCAAGAATGTCATGGGCATTCCTGCTGCTGACATCCTGCAAGGACTTCTTTGTGTCACTTGTTGTTCATTCTGCTCAGATTCTGCATCCTGCCCGCTGAATTAGACAATGATTCCACATCCTCTTGTTTGTAGCAGGTCCATCTCCTGGCTGTGGGAGATCAGCATTAGTTCCTGGACCCTTTCAGTCTACTCCATTGTGTTGTGCTAGTCGTGATGGAAACCAAAGAATATAGAAAAAGTGTTGTAGACAAAAATGTTACCCATTAAAACAAGGGACTTCCAGGACCCTTACTTTTTGATTGGTTAAGGTTGGTTAATTCTTTAAGGAATCATGGACTAAGATGAAAGTTACAGAGGTAAGTTTTTACTCAGGATAAAAAATAATTTCATAGCAAGGAAACTTCACCAGGACTGGAAAGAATGAAACTATGTTAGTAAAACTGTACAGAGGTTGGGCCACCACCAGTAAGGAATGGTAATAAATAAGAGCTTCATGAAGGATTTGGTTAGATCATTGCTAAGGTGCTTTTCAATTTTGCATCTGTGATTCTACTCACCATTATTACTTTATTGAAATGACTATGTGTATCTGGATCAACACACACACACACACACACACACACACACACACACACATAATGGTTCACATTTCATTATATAACCGAATGAATTATGTTCCAAAGCTTAAGCTTAATTAGTTTGAACTGAGTGGCTCAGGAAAACATATAGCCAGTGGGGCTAAGACTATAGAGTGATACTCTCCTGTAGTCAATTTAGCTTCTTTTGGGGAGAAAATTGTTTCACCCTTATTGCAACCCTGACCGTACATTCAAATATGATGTTCTTCTTGAATTTAGCTATTTGGGTTGATAAAGAATATTAAAAATATATGGTAATATAATGATAAGTAAGGAAAATATCAGGAGACAGGTTCCTGATATCATCAATTATCTATTTGCCCATGATTTTTTAATGACCCGATTTCTTTACCAGAAAAATAGAAAAAAATGATCAGCTGTATTCCACAGATCTTATATAAAAACTCAATTTAATTTGAAGAATTTTAACTTATGAAAGGAAGGACCCCTTTTTGGATCAAGGAATTCTTGATATTAAAAAACAACACAACAAAAAATACAAAGAATCCTCACAGAGAAAGGTGCTTCATAAGCATGGTTTAGAAGAAATATAATAATTAGAAGGCTTACTAAAGTAGACTATAGAGAAACCATCTGTTAAATATATATTGATCCAGATTTTTCCAAGTAAGAGAACACTTTCAACTCTAGTTAACTGTTACGTAAAGAATAGTCCTGGTGGGCCAGAGAATGGATTTGTAGGTAGAGATGATAATGAGTATTTTTAAATGAAGTTGCATACTTCTTATTTGTGACATTAGATCATCCCTAAAGTTGGAGAGGTTTGTTCATTTTCATTATTTGCAAAAAGTTACCAGTAAGGAAGAACAAGCTTATTTTCTTCTCAACTCAAAAGGTGAAATTTATTAACGAAAATTCAGCAAATGGTGGAACATCTGCTTTGCAAGCTCAGTTCCTTGTTGCTTACTTTGTGACTGTGCTTTTCACTTCTTTGAAATGTCCTAAAACATCAATAGCACCTCAGTTTTTAAGACTTTCAACACACATTTAACATGCACTCATTCAAGATTTTAAAAAATAGTTAAATAAATACGACAGGGATGTCCCCTTTCACCACTATTGTTCAACACAGTGTTGGATGTCCTAGCCTTGGAAATCAGAAAACAAAAAGAAATGAAAGGCATCCAAATCAGCAAGGAAGAAGTCAAATTTTCACTCTTTATAGACAACATGATACTCTATGTGGAAAACCCAAAAGATTCCACCAGAAAACTACTGTAACAGATACATGAATTCAGCAAATTCTCAGGATATAAGATCAACATACAGAAATCAGTTACATTTTTATATAACAATAATGAAGCAGCAGAAAGAGAAATCAAGGAATTGATCCATTTACAATTGCACAGAAACCATAAAATATCTAGGAATAAACTTAACTAAAGAGGCAAAAGAGCTATACTCTGAAACCGATAGAAAACTTATGAAAGAAATTGAAGAAGACACAAAGAAATGGAAAAACATTCCATGCTCATGGATTGGAAGAACAAATATTGTTAAAATGTTGATACAGCCCAAAGCCATCTATACATTCAGTGTAATCCCTATCAAAATAACACCAGCATTCTTCACAGAGCTAAAGCAAACAATTCTAAAATTTGTATGGAACTGCAAAAGACCCTGAATAGCCAAAGCAATCCCGAAAAAGAAAACCAAAGCTGGAGACATCACAATTCTGGACTTCAAGCTATATTACAAAGTTGTAATCATCAAGACAGCACGGTACTTGTACAAAAACAGACACATAGATCAATGGAACAGAATAGAGAACCCAGAAATGGACCCACAAACATATGGCCAACTAATCTCCGACCAAGCAAGAAGGAGTATCCATTGGACAAAAGACAGTCTCTTCAGCAGCAAGTGGTGCTGGGAAAACTGGACAGCGATAGGCAGAAAGATGAACCACTTTCTTACACCATACACAAAAATAAACTCAAAGTGGATGAAAGACCAAAATATAAGACAGGAAACCATCAAAATCCTAGAGGAGAAAACAAGCAACAACCTCTTTGTCCTTGGCTGCAGCAACTTCTTACTTGATATGTCTTCAGAGGCAAGGGAAACAAAAGCAAAAATGGACTATTGGGACTTCATCAAGACAAAAACCTTCTGCACAGCAAAAGGAACAATCAACAAAACTAAAAAGCAACTGACAGATGGGGGAAGATATTTGCAAATGACATATCAGATAAATGTTTAGTATCCAACACGTATAAAGAACT